GGGGGGGGGTGCGGGGGGAGGACCTGGGGACGGGGCGGCGCTAGAATTCCCATCCGCACCTCAAGTCCACGCCCCAGCAGGGATGGGGGAGGCCTTGTGTCAGATCGGCCAAAGTTCCAGACCTTCCCTCCCAGATCTGGGGAGAGTGACTGAGTGTCTGCTATTTTATTTCATTTCATTTATTATTTTTAAATTTTATTTATTTTTATTTTGTTACTTTATTTTTAATTTTGTTTATGTTTATTTTGTTATTTTATTTGTAATTTTGTTTATTTTTATTTTGTTATTTATATTTATTTATTTATTCGTTCGTTCATTCATTCATTCCTCATCCAAGGTTATTTTTCCATTGATTTTTAGAGAGTGGAAGAGAGAGGGAAAGACAGAGAGAAATATCGATGTGAGAAAAACACATTGATTGGCTGCCTCCCGCACACGCCCCGACCAGGGCTGGGGATCGAGCCTGCAACCGAGGCACCTGCCCTTGACCAGAATCGAACCCGTGACCCTTCAGTCGGCGGGCTAACGCTCTATCCGCTGAGCCACACCGGCCAGGGCTCGGTCCCATGTTTAGTACCTTTAATACTCGTGCACTGTCCTTTGAGAAGGAGATCTTTAGGAGCACCCGTTTGGGAGAGAAGTGAGAGCCTTAGAAGCAAAATGGGGTTCACAGCGCTGTTTCTCTTCACAGCAGCGACGATCAGCGACTTAGCTGTGTGCTCTCTGCATTCTTATTACCAGCTTCTTTCATTTTCCTTCCAAAACTTGAACCATTCCAATATTTTCGTGTTTGATAGGATCATTATAACTTTGGCCTGCGGGCCCTGAAGACAATTATAACAATGGCAGGGAAGAAGCGGAAGTTTAAAAGGTCAGTTGCATTTGGAACCGTTAGGTCCGTGGGAATGACACAGCGCCGGGCCGATAACCGGGGTGGGACCATTCTCTACCGTAAAGCAAGATCTTTTCCGGGAAAAGGTGTGGAAAGGGTCAGGTTACTCCCTAGGACCCCAGCCATAAAGCCTGGAACGCTCTCGCTCTCCTAGAGACGTTTAATAAATCGTTATGTTATTGTCCACCGGCTGTTAATTAGCCAGAATTCATTTCTGTTGTTTGCAGCTACAAAAGAAAATCTGCCTTAGGTCAGAATAAAACACACACACACACACACACACACAAATAAACAATCCTCTACGATGGTTGCAGCCCCCATCCCTGAATCGGTGACTGCGAATGACATGACCCTGACTTTGCCGAGAAGTCAGAGCCCATCCCTGGAGCTGGGACCAGA